AACTTGGGAAGTCAGAATCGAGTTATAACCAGTTATTACTTACTCTGTCGTGAAACATGATTTTGTAACAACCATTCATGTTAAGTATTGTGAAAGACATTGGACTGGAATTTGCATGAAATGATTTTAAATACATGGATTGTCTTGCGTTACATGGACGTCTTCACTTAAACCCCATCGCCGAAATTCAATTTACGTGAATTCTGTTGAACACTATTTCGTTTGAAAGTGATGAATTCTGCTGCACAAAATTATTTTACCTTTAAATTAGGTCTCTAGATTTATACCAAGAACGTGACCAATTAATATAATGAAAGTACAAGCGTAAGCCGAAATAATTTTCGAAAACCCTTTAATGTTTACGGCATCGATTGTTTATTAAAACCGTTGTCACTAAAAATATAAGCTTTCTATATTATAGACCTAAAAGCTCAACAGGCAGGAATAGAAGGCTTAATTAAAGTGCAAGATCATAAAAAAACCGAGATTTCCTGCCTGCTAACTTCAGTATATCATGAAAAAGTTAACTTACGTTCAAGGTTGCGTGACAGTTTCAATTCCGGGAATCTGAAGGGACTTTTCTCCGAATCCAATTAAGGTCATTAAGTTCTTGCATCACTTAGTTTTGTCGATGATTTTCACGAGCTTTTAAGACTAATTATAGAAAATAAAGTGCTAACGATACGTGAACCATTAAATTTTCTTCGTCTGGAAAGTAAAATAATCCCTTTGAAGCGAACATTTCGTGAGAATGAACGAGTTATTCCTTTAGTCGTTCCAGACTCCACGCGGAAACGAAAACGGCGCCTTGTAAAGAATGTGTTTGGGGGAAATTTTTATCGTTTTGAGTCACAAATCGTACGACGTTCTTAATTTCTATTCTATTTTTACAATGAAAGCAGTTGCCAAGTGACGTGAGCACAACTACGAAAGGGAAAGCCCCAAAAACGAAGGAAAATTTCCATTACATAGCGAGGAAATATTTTCATTTCACTTTGAAAGCCCCGTTGTAGCGAAACATCATGGATTTTAAGGTTA